GGCATTTATCCTTCCAACACCCGACCATCACAGATGTACCAGGCCCAGGAACAGGTGCAGGGAAACATCTCCGAACAAGAGCGCGAAGACCCCTGTCCTTGGAAGTCACAATCTAGTAAGGCAGACATGCAACTGAGAGTCGTCACACTGGGTGGGACTAACAGGCAGAACAGTGGGTCACACGTCAGAGAGACGCAACCAACCTAGAGGAGAAACCTCAGAAGTGACTGGTGGCCAGGGCCGGAAGGAGGAGGCCACTCCTCTGTCAGTCTGTCGTACTGGGGTGGTTTGCGTGTTGGCGGAAGCGATGCCACCACTATTTCCAACCCCAGGAGGGTCGTCACCTGGGGCGGACAGCTTTCAGAGGAGCTTCCAGACCAAGACAGACTAGTTAGAAAGGCCTGGAAACGGCCCACCCTTCCTGAAAACTCAGCCGATGGAAACCACATGCATTGTCGCAGAACGCTGTGGGCTCTCTGGCTCTGGCCGCGCCATCAGAAGGGGCCGATAGCTAAAGGAGGATGTCCTGTTTGGGGAAGCAGAAGGCCGGCGGGGGCCCGGGAGACCTGCAGTGTACAGCGACGGGCTCACACACACTGGCGATAGGATGGGCACCATTTCCTTCCGTTGGCTAAGGGGTCACCAGGTCAGTGGCAACCCAGTGGCAGTGAATAATAACGAATGAACGAGAAGGTTCTTCCGGAGGAGAGAAGAAAGGGGGGGCGGGGAAACCTATGGACTGAGCGAGCTAGATGAGAGGGGGGAAGCGGGGAGTGTGTGAGACTGAAGCTCCTATCAGATGGAGCGCAGCAGGAGGAGGGAGAACCTGAAGCAGGGATTCTGCAGGGACACTGCCCTCCCCCCCTCAGGGCCCGGTCTTGTCCCCAGCGACTGCTCTGGGAAAGGCTCCGATCTAAAAACCCCCAGAACTCCCTGACTGCCCTCCGGTCGATGCCGGCTCCTAGCGACCCTATAGGACAGGGTAGAACTGCTCCTGGGGTTCCCAAGACTCTAACTCTTTATGGGAGTAAAAAGCCCTGTTTTTCTCCTGCAAAAAAGCCCAATATCGCCACTCAGCCTTTGAGAAGGCATTTCTGGAGGCACAGGTGGGGGGAGGTAGGTAAGAGCAGGCTGCGTGCTCACACCGCTGTGCCCAGGGTCTCCCTAAGGAGTCTCAGACACAGGAAAAGCAAACTACTGCCGGCGAGTTGATCCTGCCACATGGGGACCCCGCCCGTGTGGGGCAGAATGGTGCTGCATGCAGGGCTGTGACCTTAGGGAAAGCAGTTCTCCTGGCCTTTCCTGTCCGGTGTGTCTGCGCGGAGTTGAACTGACAACCTTTCAGTTAGCCGTCGAGCGCTTTAACCATTTGTACCACTCACAGCTCACCAACCCCGTTGCCGTTGATTCTGACTTGAGGAGAACTCCCCCCCCTCCCCACGCAAAGTGTGGGGCTAAAAGTGGGCTCTTAAAGACCTTCCAGAAGCCGACTGCCAGGTGAGTTCCCACTGCCAACCCTCTAGGTGAGCAGGCGAGGGCTCCCCCGTCTCATCCTGCATCCTCAGGCGCCAGACCCCAGGGGCCTGCAGTGGGGATGGGGAAGGGTCCTGAGCCCGCTGGCACCCATCCCCACAGGGAATGAACCTAGCTGCTGGGTCCCCCGAAGCTCCTGTACACAAGGAAAGGTTCAGAGTCCCGACACCCCTTGGCGCACACACCCCGCCTTCGGAGAAGCCAAGACCACCGGCGAGTTGCCGCCACCCACCTTTTCCGAGGCTGCCTCCAGCGATTTCAGATTATTGGTGACATTCTTGAGTTCTTCTTCCAGGTCGCCACATTTTCTGCCCAGAGAAGACAAAGGGCTTTTGTGAGCACCCTCGCTCTGAACCCGCGGCTCCCCCAGAAGATGTCCTCGCCAGGGGCCCCGGGAAGGAATGTGGGAACGCATTTTTCAGCGGATTCTTCCAGGAGGGAGGGCTGTGTACTTACTCATCACCTCCTCCACCCCCAGTCCTCCCAGGCCAAGGCCTGGCCTGCCTGGGAGTCTCTGAGAGGTTCGCAAAGGGCCCTGGGCTCCTGCCAAGGGTGAGACCATGTGAGCCAGCAGCCTTGTGCAATCTGTGATTGCCGAGGCCGGCTCCGCTGCCGAAGGTGGGCGGCGTGAGGAAGGAGGAGACCGGGCAGGAGCCTGGGAGCCGGCAGCCAGCTCCCCAACTGGGCGCTCAGGGTGGACGGGGGGAGACTGGGGTGCCCTCGGCCCTCCGGGAACCTTCTGAAATGGAGTCCTCGGCCTCTACCAACGGGGAGAATTTGGGGCGAGCTTCTCACCTCCCCTCCAGGAAGGTGTGTGTCCCAGGCAAGCCCTGATGCCCGGAGATGGATATTTGGACACCACAGGGGCTGCCTGGCTTCCCCAGAGACCCTCTCTTGGGAAAGGGGATGGTTATCGATTGAATTGTGTCTACCCTGCCTGCCACTGGTCCCCTAAAAACATGTGTTAGAATCCTAACCCCTGGGCTTTCGGGTCTCATCCATTTTGAAAAAGGGGTTCTTTGATGGTTTACCGAGGCCCCATCTGTGCAGGGCTGGCCTGTCTTAGGCCAATTCCTTTTGGGACATGAAAGGAGCCGATAAGGCACAGCACTGACGGCTGAGATGCCTCAGGAAAAGACGCTAAAGGAGATGAGGATCTTCTCCCCCCCAGCCCCCACGCCTCCCCACCAAGACTTCCTCTGAGTCAGCACCCTGAACTTGGAAGTCTGGCCTCCGGAACTCTGAGAAGATACATTTTTTGTCCTTGAAACCAACCTCCTATCCCCGTTGTGAGATTTCTGCTCCAGCCGCTTGGGCACGCGGGGAACTAGCCCAATCTACCCCCTCTCTCTGCGGGAGCAGCCTGCATGTGGGCATTGTTTTCCAGAGCCAGGGGAACAGGCACTGTCTGACACCCCATCCCCCACGGCAACAAGCAGGGCGACGCAGGTGCCCAACCACTTCAGTGCAGCCAGGTCCCCACACCCACAGCTCCCACCCATGGGCCGGACCCAGCCCGGCCGGTTCTGCCACTCACAGCTCAGACACTTCTGCACGCTCCTCGGCCCTCTCCAGCTCGCCCTCCAGGATCACCAGCTTCCGAGCTACCTGTGGAGACAGAAAGGCTCCACTGAGGCCCCCTCCTTCAGGAGGTCTCCCGGCCTCCTCAGCTCAGGAAGTCCTGCTTGACAGGCCCCCACGCCCGCCAACGCCGTAGTTACTGCAGCGCCCCTTCCCCATGTGATGGTCAACTGGCTCCACAGGGGGTTCACAGGCTGTGAGCTTTTAGGAGCAGACTGCCAGGCCTTACTTCCGATGGATCTTTGGATGGGTTAAACCACCAGCCTTTCTGGTCGTCCAGAGCTTCACTGCTTGCGCCCTCCCTTCCACCGGCCTTTTAGAAGTAGGTCACCAGGCCATTCTTCTGGGTGGACTCGGACAGCTCACCTTCCAGACAGCAGCATCTGCAGCTTCACCCCTTGGGCCTCAGGAGTGAGGCAGGCGAGGAAGGGCAGACGAGCAGGGCCAGGGAGGTGTACAAGTGGGCGTGGGCTTCCGGTCTGCAGATGCAGGACCATCTGGGTTTTAGCCCTACAGTGCTGCCAAAGGGCCCCTGGGTGCACTCAGTCCGAGGCCAGCTGCTAACCCGAAGGGGGGCAGCTCCAATCCAACCAGAGGGCGCCCAGGAAGAAAAGCCTGGCAGTCCGCTTCTATAAAGAGGATGGCGCAGAAAGGCCCAAGAAGCAGTTCTACTGTGGCACACACAGGGTGGCCAAGAGTCAGAATGGATGGCACGGTGTTACCCGGAGCCAGGGCGCTCTGATCACCTGGTGTTTTCTCCAACACAGCTCTCTGGGACCTTTGGCCCTGGGGACCCTCGCTCGCCAGCACGGAGTCGATTCTGACTCCTAGCGCCTCAGCAGAGCAGAGTGCCCCGTGGCTGCCCCGGGGGCTCCCAAGACTATAAAAGTCGTTGGCTTTGGAGGAGGTGCAGTTTTCTGGCCAAGGGGACATGAGGCTGTAAGGCAGCTGACCCAGCCCAGAGGCTCTCCCTGGCCAGCCCCACTCACCTCCTCGTATTTGCGGTCGGCCTCCTCAGCAATGTGCTTGGCCTCCTTGAGCTGCATCTCCTGGATCTCCATCTTCTCCTCGTCTTTCATGGCCCGGTTTTCTATCACCTTCATGCCTCTGCAAGGAGCAACCTCATCAGGACCACCACCCACTCCAGTACGACCCCACATAGGTGCCAGTAAGCACTGTCTGCAATCCCTGCTGAGCACCAGGCCCCAGCGGCCCTGCAGGCCATCTGCCAGGCTCACAGACTGGGAGCCAGAGGCACCCTTCATGTTCCCTGCTTTGTATGGACCGAAGCGGAACCTTGACCTCTACATCTGCGGATGCCTGTGCTTGGGAATTGCGTTTCCATTGTGATATTTGGGAAGCCACTTCCGGGTGGGTCCTCAACCTAATCACTTCTGAGCCTTAAGGTGCAGCACACAAGCATTGGGGTTGGTTACTGCAGAATGGAACCAGGTGCTGATAGGGGGGTTTGAACCAATGACCTGTCATCTAGGTACGGAGTACTTAACTGTTTGTGCCAGGCGGGGACGCCATAGGACAGGCACAGAGACAAATGGGAGAGAAGTAGATGCCACATGAAGACTGCCAAGGAAGCGAGGAGCGTGGGAGCTAGAGAGGCTGAGCCAAGGACCATTCCTCAGCGAGGACAGACAGCAGACACCTTCCCCTGGAGCTGGCTCCCTGAATTTAGACTTGTAGCTCCCTGAACGGTGAGAAAACCAATTTCTGCTTGGGAACAAAGAGGAGCTGATGCCAGGGCTCAAGTAGAAAGAACATGCTTTGAAAATGACGATGGCAACCTATGTACAACTGTGACCGGTACAATGGATGTATGGATTGTTCTGAGAGCGGTAAGAGCCCTCAATCCAATGATCAAAGAAACAGAAAAACAGCCCCTTGTTTGTGGTGTCTGTGTGACAAACTGATAAAGGCTGTCTTATCCTGAACCTCTGCCATCGAGGCGGTTCTGATTCATAGCGACCCTGGAGAACAGAGCTGGACAGAACGATTCCTTGGGTTGCTGAGGCTGTGAACCTTCTATGCGAGCAGAAAGCCTCATCGTCCTCCTGTGGAGCCGCCAGTGGGTTTGAACTGCTGACCGTGCAGTTAGCAGCCCAACCAGTTAGTGCTTAAGCTACCAGTGCTCCTGTTCTATGAGCCCCGTTTTAGAGGAGAAAACGGAGGCACAGAAAAGTTGGTGGTGGTTCTTAGCTGCCCTGGAGCCGGGCGCCAATTCACGGTGACCCCGTGGAAAGAGAAGGCGGGGATGCCTGGTCAGGAGCCATCCCTGGTTGGCTGTGGACTGAACCTTCGGGATCCACAGGATTTCCATCAGCTGACTTCCGGAAGCAGTTTGCTAGGCCTTCCTTGTGCGGCACCTCTGGGTGGGATTAACCCACGAGCCTTTCAGTGATTGCTCCCGCATGTAGCCATCTGGGCCACAGGGGACCCCGTCAGATCACACGGGAGCTTCAGATAAACTGAGGACCCGAAGAGGCTGAGCCAGGCTCCCATGTCAGCACGTGGCGCTTGCTCAGAGCAGAGCGACTCACACTTTGAGCCATCATCACACCACTCTTGGCTGTCAACACACCCTCAAGGCCGGCCCCAGGACCACACAGAGGCTCCTCCTGGCCCCCCACCCTCACCCCGCCCCGGTGCTCCTCTGACAGCTGATTGGTAAGGAGCAGCAGAGGCCATGAATCTGGGCCTTCTAGTTCCAAGTCTAGATTTCTTTCTACCAGCCACCTGGAAACCCCAAAACAAAACCCCAAACACCAGGAAAAACCCTTCAAACTTGTTGCCATCAAATCCATCCCAAACCCACAGCGATCCCAGGCGTTTGCTACCACGTAGAACCGCTCCATAGGGCTTTCTTGGCTGCGAACCTTACGGAACCAGATCAGGTTGCTTCCTTCTGCAGGTGGGTTTGAACCGCCAACCTTTAGGTTAGCAGAAGAGCCCAAACTGTCTGCAGTACCCAGAAACCTATCAAAACACAGCCATCTCCAACACAGGTGTCACCGAAGGTCTCTGGGGGTCTTGTGCAGGGCAGTGCATGGCCTGCCTAGCTCCCTGCCATTGCAGCATCCTTGAAGGGAGACATCTGGCTGGGCTGACTGCAAACAGGACCAGCAGCTAGGCACAGCCGTGAGCTCCCCAGGCCTGGGACCTTCATACACTTTCTGGACTGCTGTCACCTCCTTCTACCACAGGGCTGAAGTCTGCATTGGGTCCCTGTCCCAGCAATTCCATTGCAAAAGCACTTTCATAAACCCTCACCCATCTGCCCGCTCGCAGAAGGAAGCCTGGTTGACTGCTAGCCGTAAGTCAGTGGTACAAGCCCACCAGCTGCTCTGTGAGGGAAGGATGTAGCAGTCTGGGTCCATGCAGGTTCTATCAGGGCAGGGTGGGTCCCAGACCTAATCACTTGTGAGTTATAAAGCAAGCAGGTTTTGGCGTGGCACAGAGGGAAAGAGAGCTGCTACATGGAGATCACCAAGGAACTGAGGAAGTCCAGGTGCACAGAAACTCAGAGACAAAGTCCTTCCCCCAGAGCAGATGGAGAGAGCCTTTCTGTAGAGAACCGAGCTGGATCGGACCAACGAGGATCCTGGTGGAGTCACGTGGCAGAAACCCAGTGATCACCATCACCCCACGTGGATGAGCCACGAACCCTCTGCTCTGAGAATCACACAGTCGACCTCGGCCCTTTGGTGCCTGTGTCACGGAGTGCCAGGGAGTAGGCTGCCAGGATGGAGAACCCCGCTGTGGGCGGGGGAGCGCTGCCAGTCTCCAGTGTGCTCACTGGGCTGGCCCG